CCCCAAAACCCCAAAACCCCAAAACCCCAAAACCCCAAAACCCCGAGTGTGAATTGACAGTTGAGAAATTGGTAAAATAATTATGAGTGAGGGTTTAATTTCCTCCTCATGGGAGTTCTGTGAGGGTACAATATTCTGTGCCGGGGGTTTTGGGGGCTTGGTGAGGAAATATAGGAGCATTACTTCTGCTCATGCTCAAGGAGGGCTGGATAAGGGATTGGTGGTGTCTGTAGTTTTGTAATTCTTGGATGTATGTCACTCTTTGGTGTTGGGAGGGCTCCTTTGGGGCTATTTTTTGTTGGGCTTTCTTCATTTTTCTTTTGTAAATATAGACTATGATTGATTTAATGAGGAATCCGAAGCAGATTATGCTTCCTATAGCTGAAGAGGCTACGAATATAGTAGTGTAAAACTTTTCATAAAATGGAGTCCAGGCCTGCTCTGTGTTCAGCCAAGATAATGGAACTGTCAAGCAGCAGAATAAAGTCTGATTTATACCCTCTATGAGATTGTCTTGAGAACTTTCAAATGGTCTGACAATAATTAAATAAATTCCATACGCAATATTCAACAAATAGAAATATATGGATTTTTCATATGAACGGATAGACTGCCCAAAGATTAAAAATGAAGTCAATAATAGCCTTGTCAGCATGAACAAAGATGAATAAAGCTTTGAAAATGTGGTTGGCTTTATTCCATTAAAATACTCGAATCATGGCCAATACTTAGCTTTGTTAATCTGAGGAAATGACCTATAATACATGTAGAAAGAAAGAATAAACAATACACTTGTGCATATTCAAAATACCACTCATAACCCAAAAGATATTTTGGTCACAGTTGTAGCAAGATTAAGACCGTAGAGCTCTGCGAAAATGGACAGAGTTGTAAAAACAAAGGCTTGCATGAAGATTCTAATATAAATATTAAAGGTGAAAAACTTGAATAGCTTTCTAGAAAACCTTTGAAACTTTTTGTTCTTAGAACGCTTTGCTCACTTATTTCACAGGAGCACTCCTAGATGGATGACTCAAACAAGCATAATAATAACCAATAGTGATAAATAGTTGATAACTGAACTCCCAGATCTCATTCCGAGGCTGTTTAGGTATTCGTTAGATTGAGGGTATGAAACCCAGTCTGATAAGGCTTCCACAAATGGAATATCTTTGAATTTGATAAAGTCAAACGACAGCACTGTAAACCTCATTTCATTTAAGAATGCTAGGACTTTAGGTGAAAAGTAATCTGGAATCATAGGCAGGAGTATTGCCAATTGTAGGCTGTTCATTATGCTAAATATTGAATTCACTGAAGATAGTGAAAGAATAGACGAAGCACTTGCAAATACAACACTCGACGCAATGAGGATAGTGGTAGCCTCAGTTGTTCCAGCTATTGCAGGAATCTTGATACAAGTCTGGTTTCCATTAGAACCTTGATACCCACTGCTTCAAGTCTCTCACAAACTTGAGTTTCCAAGTTTTCAGACATCACAGTTCTTAATAATTCACTCTTCAACAATAATTTCAAATTTCTTGTAATAAACTTCACTACCAAAAGCAATCTGTAGGGAGAAGTTGAAGGTGGTTTTCTGTTCTAACTTAGGAATATCCCTCAGATGCATCTCTCGCTTCTTTGGCTCCAACTGTACCCATTCCGGTATGACACTCGACCCTGTCTGAGCCAAACTAAACTTGATTGTAGTGTAGTTTACAGCCTTAGATCAGGCCCAAGCAAAGTACAATTGGACAGAGGTGTTGCTCTGAACAAATTGGACGTGATCCGTATTCCACAGAGCAACATGAGTGGTGATCGAAGGACTGGTCGTTGAGGTGATTTCATTGGGAGAGATTGGCGATGAAGTTGAGATTATGAGGTTTTTGGTAGTAGGTGAAATGCTTGGGGTTGATGCTGTTGAGGATACTTGGTAAGCGGAGGTAATTGGACTAAACACAGGAGTATCTTCTTCAACTTGTTGGAGCTGGTCAATGTTGCTAATGGGAGACCTCGCGAAGAAGAAAGTAAAATTAGTGTTGATCCTTCCAGATTGATACATCAACTCCTGTCCTTGATATAATAGTCTTCCAAGAGCATAAGATTTTGAATCCACAAATTTGTATTCTTTCAGAATCTCTGTGTTTGATAAGTTTATTAAAATTAATCTATTATATGAAACAGGATCGATGAACTCTAGCTGAATGGCAATAAATTCAGAATACTCTTTAATTGAATAGCTCAGATAGTATCCATTTTTGTTCCAAATAAATCCACTATTTTCAGGAGTTCCGTCACTTACTCAAATTTTGTGGAAGATATAGTGTTTATCAAATAAAATCATCGTGTAAATCCATTCTTTATCTTGGCTAAGAATTGCACTGCTGATTTTACTTTCTCACCCTGAAGTTGGGCAAGCAATACTCTTCTTCCAGACCAGATTTGAGGGATCTGAGAAGTTGTAATTTACCAAATAGTATTGATCAGCAGAAGTATCAATAGACCCAAAGAACAAAATGTCTTCACTGATTGGTACTAAGTTAGTCGGGCTGTCAACACCAAATGTAAATCAGCCGAGATTAGTACTCAAAGTATCCCACCTGCATGTATGCAAAACTGAGCTTATTTTAACACTAAAATATAAGCTCTTGTTTATTTCCATGTTTGAGTTCCAATTGAATGAGGAAGTACTAATAGATAACTCTTTTGAGATCATCAGGTCTGTAGTCCGAATCTGAAATATCTTGTCAGTCGTGATATCCATGATGTAGATCAAGTCTTTACTTGAGTCAAAGGCAAGAGAGCTGTATATGCTATAAATATCATAAGTCATGACTTTAATTTTTCCCAAATCAAGATCTGATTTATAGATAATTGTTGTCCATGGGATTGCTGTCGTAAAATACCCAACAAAATAGAGTAAATCCTTCTGTTGGTCTTCAAATATATCCAAAAAGTAGACTTCATTATCTCCGGGCATCCCAAAACTTCCAACGAGAGGTGACCCTAGTGCTAGCAACTCATTTTCACATACGTTGGCTGTGACCACAATAATGGATCAGAACAGAAGAATGACACGATGCATTTTAATATTATTAATAATCTCATCTTCAGTAATTTATTTGAGGAAGGGGTTTTGGGGTTTTGGGGTTTTGGGG